TATATATTTATAGATATATCTGCATACATACACACTGTATATATGAATATCCCCACAGCATCCAATGATAAACAGTTTTTTTCCCTTATTTGCTCCTTTAATCTACACCTTATAAGAATCTACCTGCACTGTGAATCAGAAAATGTTCTTTAGGTTCAGTACGATGTCTGAGAGAAAGGGATACCAATGCAATTGAGTTAATCAGAAGCTTTCTTCACAAGTTTATACTTCTTTAGAGAAAAAATTAAAGAGTAAGATTAGCTAACAAGACCATTTACAAATGTTTCAACTCCACTTAAGGACAGAGTCTAGATGTATTTATACCATTTGATCCAGCAATCCCATTACTGGGCATCTACCCAAAAGAACAAAAGACATTCTATAAAAAAGAAATCTGCACTCCAATGTTTATAGTGGCACAATTCACAATTGCAAAGATGTGGAAACAACCCAAGTGTCCATCAATACATGAGTGGATTAATAAAATGTAGTATATGTATACCATGGAGTAGTATTCAGCTATAAGAAACAATGGTGATCTAGCACCTCTTGTATTTTCCTGGATAGAGCTGGAAACCATTCTACTAAGTGAAGTATCCCAAGAAGGGAAAAATAAGCACCACATGTACTCACCAGCAAATCGGTTTCACTGATCAACACCTAAGTGCACATATAGGAATAACATTTATCGGGCGTCGGGCAGATGGGAGGAGGAAGGAGGGTATGGGTATATGCATACATAAGGAGTGCTGTGCACCATCTGGGGGATGGACATGCTTGAAGCTCTGACTGGGGGAGGGGGGAAAGGGCAACCCAACCTAAACATTTGTACCCCCATAATATGCAGAAATAAAAAAAAAGAAAAGAAAAAAAGATTTATTTTAATAATACTACAAATGTCCACTAAAATGTTGATCTGTTTTTAAAAAGCAATTCAAATAAGTTCAATTTATATTAATGCAAAGAAAAAGTCTTCTTAAATGACTGTTTTGCTCTATGGCTGTAGCATTCAACACAACTATCTTTGAAACCAACCAACCTTTCCCGTTACTAGCCAGTAAATAAACATGAATGACTCATTAATGCACTCACATGAATTGAAATGCTCGTTTGCAGTGGCTTTAAAATGCACTGGATTTCAAAATGACCTCTATTATTTTTTATTTAACTGTGTATATAAATAAATCTGAGATCATTATTTATTCAATAATTGAGCAAGCTGAATTTTTAGCATTACCATCTCTACCAAATAGTTAAGAAAATGAAAAGATACTAAGGAATGCGACTGACAGAGGTGGCTCTCTGTTTGTGAGGTGCTTCACTCCATACCCCCATTCCCAGCCTGTATCTTGGTAAGTAGGAAGTCAAGTTACCTTATTGTATCAGACTCCTGATTCTCACAAATATTGACCTTCAGTCTGTACAAATGGGTCAGTTAAATGAAACCATGTAAATCATTTCTCTAAATATTTTGACATCTATATGAGCAAACGTGAGTAACTCACTTCATATAAAATATAAGGTAAACGAACGTAAATGAACTAGCGGGTATAAAGTTTAACATGGCTTATTAGCCTAATAGCAATTATAAAAAATAATAATAACAACTGTTATACCTAACAATGCCTGATTGCTGTGCTAGATATTTCAAATATATCTGCAATAATGACAATGATGATACAGTAATAATATAATAATACTCAGCCAAAGGAAGATGAATTGGTCTCTGCCTGTGAGGCAAGGAGGGTTCATGACAAACAATATTCTCATCATACAGACTGTGTTGTCTTCAGTGATCATTGTTCAACCTTTACCTTGAACACAATGGGGTTCTTGACTCTTCTTCTTCTATGATACTGAGTCCTGATGGGGAACACCATTGCCAAACAATCGCATCCAGAAATAAAGATTATTGCACTTGAATAAAAAAGAACTTGGGCAAATTTAGGGCTTGCCTTTGTGAATTATACCCTTTCAGGCAGAGGACCCTGCCTGGGATGAAGCCTGTCTCGGGAAGGTCCAGATACAGTTGTCCTTGAACAACTTCTAGCTGCCTAACTGGAGCCCTTCTTATTGCTGCCTGCTCAAGCCTTGCTGGAAGGGCCCAATAAAGGGACTCTGAATAAATTTTCCAACCTACTCACACCTGCTACCTCTCTTGTCTTTGGTATTCCCAGTCGAATCCACAGGCACCTTCAATGGGGTTGTATTTTGTTTGTTTTGTTTTCTCTTACCAGTTTATTCACATATGCCCCAATCAGGAACAGACATTATTCGGAAAAAAAAAAAAAAATGCATTTTTGTAAGGTCAATGGAAAAACAGGAACAAAATGTATTTTTTACTGTGATCTTAAAACAAACAAAAATGCTTGAATATATAAAATGCTCAAGCATTTTAGTAGTATGAATAGACAGAAAAAATCAGAAAGGACAGTCATGAAGCATGGTACAGGTGATCTTCTTCATCTAATACCTCTCCTTTTAGAGATTAAGAGAAGGAAGCATTCTCCCTCCTTCATTACATTCCCAATATGAGCTGTATGTAGTAACTAAGTTCAGAAATGAGAGTCCAATTCATAGGTACCATTTGAACACCTGCTGTATACCACTCTTTATGCTAAGTGTTTTAGATACAGTATCTTATTTAATTCTCACAGAAACTTTTGGTTTAGGAACTTCCATTATTCTAAATTTGATAGAGGAGAAAAAAGTGTCTCAGCGAGATTAAATAACTTGCCTATGGTTACACAAATTGTAAGTGACAGAGCTAGGACTCAAACCTGTGTCTCTGAATCATGCAATAATGCCTTAAAACTCCATTTTGTAAGGTTTGAGCTTATGTTTCAATCTTTGTCTCTAATCAGTGAGCTCCTTCAGAACAGAATTTATTTCTCATTAATTTTTATACCTCTAGAGCATGGAATAATGCCTGATACAGAGCAGGAACTCGATGATTGTCAAATGAATAAAATGATGAATTAATAAATAAAAAAGGGAAGAAATTACTTTTAAAAGGAGACAGAAAATTAAAGTTCATGCAAAAAGATAATTGTACACTTGGAATACTATTCCTATGGTTAGTTTTGTGCCCCCTCATTTCTATTGTAGCAACATATGAGTATTTTATGATAAGCGCCATTTTTACTTTAGAATTAAATGAAATGCTTTCAAAAATATGTACTTTACCCAGGGATTTAAATGAACGATTGAAATTCCATAATCAGAACATGACACAACCAAACCAGTGTATAATCATATGTTTCCCATAATAAGCTACTTGAAGTGTTCTTAGGGTTACAATTTTGTAATCTAGACATGAGAGGAAGATCTGTGCTCTTGACAACATTCAATACAGGCACTTCAACTGGCTCTGGATAAAAGACAAACCTTCTCTTTTGCATTACATAAATGTTCTCTCATTCCTTATCAGTAAGCAGACAGTCCTAACTGTTACCGTCACATCCTCTGCCATCTTCCGCCAACGTCTGGCTAGCTTGACATGTGCAGTAATAACTGCCAATTGTATTACAGCATTGGTCCTGACAGCCAGCATTGTCAATGGTACATTCATTTATATCTGCAATTGAATAGTTAAACAGAATTAGCCTCCTGTTACCAGACACACAAAAAGAAACTTCAGTGGCTCTCCTAAAAATGAAACATCACAGAGTGACCTCATTCTCTGACCTCAGATTAAATGAGATAAAATGATATCTCATTTTAATTAGAGCTAATGCACCGTAATTTTGATGTGAAGAAAGATACGAGTCATAATCTTTAGTATCTGAAATATTACATTTGAACAGTGAACTAAGAAGTTTTCTAGTCTTACGGATTTTGGAGGCTTAGGGTACAGATTCAGAAATTTCACATCCAACTCATCATTTGAGGATGTGATTGAGAACAAAGAGAGAACTAGAGAGTCAGAACACTAGGTTACCTGTTCATTAAATATGTTGCTCTTGGCTTCTCAAATGAATAATTGTTAAGCACTTACCACTACATATTTAGCATTGTACTAGACAGAGAGGGTACAAAGGCAGTTCCATGGTTTCCAATGGTTAATATCTAGCTGGAGTTGAGGGCTACACAGAAGTGTGATTTGATTGTGTCCATGTACTGGATATGCCCACAGACCCCTTCTAAGTCTGTGTCCAGAAGTCGTTTTTACAGATATGGCTCAATTTTATGTATTTTCCCCATCCAGCTAACAGCTGATAAGTATTCCAGCCCATTTGCAGATTTGGTAATGGCCCGTGAGGTGATTTAGTACCATAGCTCAAAAGAGGCACCGCTACACCATGTTGACCAGCTGACTTGATAGATCCTTGCTTCATGAAATGAGTGTGGCTGGAAGCGGGAGAGGATGGAGAGGGAACGGAAGAAGAGAAGGGTAGCAAGGGAGGGGAGAGAAAGGAAGAGGTGGTCAGAGAGAAGGAAAGGGAGAATGGGTTGGTTAGGAACAGCAGAAGCAACAAAGTAAAAGCGTAAACAAAGAGGAGATGTGTCACCAAACTGTGCAACCATGAGAGCAGAAAACAACCAATACCGAAAGAACAATGAAGTAACGGGCAGAGAGAGCTACAGTGCATCTTGACTGGATATAACTGATTTTGTCTGACCCCTGGCTACACAGATGTTGAGACTGCTTTTGCTTGTTTTAACTTTTCACTGAGGTATGCCATACACACAGAAAAGTATATAATTCTTAAGTATATACACTTTGGTGAAATTTCAGAAGTAGAAAATACCAAGACAACTTCAATGCAATGCCAGAATATTACTAGTATCCAAGAAGCACCATGCCTCACTAAAGGTAAGAACTATCCTGATCTTTAATCACTATAGGTTAGTTTTGTCTTTTTGAACTATACATAAGTAAAATTATACTGTGTGTATTTTTTGTGTGCCTGGCATCTTTCATTCAGCATTCTATTTATGAGATACACCCATGCTTTTGCATATACTCGTAGCTTGTTCAGTCTTATTCCTGTTTGTGATCATTTTCTATGAATATACTACAGTATTTATTCATTTCACAGATAATGAGCATTTGGATATTTTCTTATTTTTGGCTTTTGTGAAGAGTGCAACCATAAACATTCTCATACATGTCTTCAGTGAACTTAGGTATGTATTTCTGTTGGGCAATACAGTTGACCCATGAACAACATAGATTTGAACTGCACAGGTCCACTTACATGCAGATTTTTTCAATAAATACAGTCAGCCCTCCACATTGACAGGTTCTGCATCTGCAACCAAACAGAACCAAAATACAGCATTCACGGGATTCAAATACTGTGTTATTAAAATTGGCCCTCCATGCAGATGGACGGCCAATTTTTCACATACTTGGGTTCCTCAGGGCCAACTGCAGAACTTGAGCATTTGCAGATTTTGGAATCCACGGGAGTCCTGGAACCAATCCTGCCTGGACACCGAGGGACCATCATACAGCTGAGACTAGAATTGCTAGGTCAAAATGTCTGATATGTTTTCCTGTGGTAGTTATAGTTGAATAGTCTTCTTAAGAGGCTATTCTAATTTATACTCCCATCAGTGATATATTAGAGACCACATGTTACTCATTCATGTCAACATTTGGGATATTCTGTTTTTCCATTTTATTTCTTCTGGGAGTTTATAATAGCATCACATTGAGATTTTAATTTACATTTTCCAATGAATAATTTGTTTAAGCATATTTTCAAGTTATTAGTCATTCAGATAACATCTTGTTGAAATGCTGGTTCAAATATTTTTTCCATTTGTCCAATCTTAAAATATTGGTTCTTCTACTTCTGAGTCCTCAAGTAGAATGTTAAATAGAAGTGGTGGCAACAGTCATCCTTTTCTTGCTTCAGATCCCAAAAGCAGAGTTTTTTTTTTTTTTTTTTTTTTTGAGACAGAGTCTCACTGTGTTGCCCGGGCTAGAGTGAGTGCCGTGGCGTCAGCCTAGCTCACAGCAACCTCAAACTCCCGGGCTCAAGCGATCATCCTGCCTCAGCCTCCCGACTAGCTGGGACTACGGGCATGCGCTACCATGCCCGGCTAATTTTTCTATATATTTTTAGTTGTCCGATTAATTTCTTTCTATTTTTAGTAGAGATGGGGTCTCACTCTTGCTCAGGCTGGTTTCGAACTCCTGACCTTGAGCGATCCACCCGCCTCAGCCTCCCAAAGTGCTAGGATTACAGGCATGAGTCACCGTTCCCGGCCAGAAGCAGAGTTTTTAACATTTCACAGTCGGTATGATGTGTACTATAGGGTGTGTGTGCGTATATGTGTGTGTGTGTATGTATGTTTTATCAGATTAAAAAGTTCCTTAGATATTTGTCTCATAAATAAGTGTTAAGTTTTATTTGCTGCTTTTTCTGAATCTATAATTAGATGCTTTTTCTTATTACTTCTGTTAATGAGATGAATAACATAATTGATCTTTGCATCCCTGAAATAAACCGGGTCATAATATACTACCCTCTTATATATACCTGGGTTCAGCTAGCTAATATTTTGTTTAGGATTTTTGTGACTCTATTCATGAGAGAGATTTGCCTGCATTTTTTCTTCTTGGTAATATTCTTGCAAGATTTTGGCACCCAGGTCATACTGGGATACATTGAAAAACAAGTTGGAAGTGTTTCATCTTTTTATATTCTCTGAAAAAATCTGTGCAAGATTGGAGCTATTTCTTATTTAAATGTTTGAAAGAGTTCATTTATGATGCTATCTGGGGCATGGGATGGGGCGTGTGTGTATGTGTGTGTGTATGTATGAAGGCTTTCAATTACACATTCAATTTATTTAATAGATATAAGAACATTCAGATTTTCATTTAAATATATTGGATAAATTATGTGTTTCACAGAATTTTTCCATTTAATATAAACGTTCAGATGTATTACTGTTAAATTGTTCATGACACAATTCTCATACTATTTTTAAATGTCTGTCTAATTTGTGATGAGGTCCCCTTTCCTATTTCTGAAATTTATAATGTGTGCCTTCATTTTTTCTTGATCAGCTTTGCTAGGCATTTACCAATTTTATCTACCTATCTATCTATCTCACCTATCTACTTTAATCTTTTCCAAGAAAAAACTTTTGAGTCTTTTGATTTTTGATTTTTCAGCATTGCACATTTTTTTGATTTTTCAAACTTTTGATTTTTCAGCATTGCACATTTTTCCATTTCATTAATTTGTGCTATGATCTTTATCATAGCCTTCACTCTGCTTTCTTTGGAATTATTTCACTATTCTGCTTCTAAGTTCTTGAGATAGAAATTTAGATCATTGATTTTTAGCCTTTCTTTTTAAAAAATATTTCTGGTTATCTATAAGTGTATGACAAACCACCCCAACACTAAGTGGTTTAAACAGACAACTTACTATCTTTCACATGTCTAGGGATTCTCACTTGGGTAAGAACCAGCTGGGTGGTCCTCACATGGGATCCCGCAGATGGTAGAAGTCAGGTGATTGCTGGGGCTAAACTTGCATGGAGGCTTTTTCACTCACATTGGGATTTGGACTGAGACAGTTGGAATCTGGTTGGCTGGTCAGCTGTCGCTCCCTCTCTCTCCATGTAGCCTGTCCATGTGCCTAGTTTTGGCTTTCTCAGGGTGGATACATTTTCCATAGTGACTAATAGAGAGACCATCACAATAGATTCAAACAAAAGCTGCAAGGCTTCTTAAGATCTAGCCTTGGAAGTCACATAGCATCACTTCTAAGACATTTGTTAGTTAAAGCAGTCTCAGGCTGGCTGGGATTCCAGGAGGGGGAGGAATTACTCCTCTCAATGGGAGAATTACATGCGTGTCCTGGGAAGGAAGAAATTGACAACAGCTTTCTTAGAGCATATCACATTAACATGTTCATTTTTCTAAAAATAAAGTATTAGCTGCACACCACACATATTTTAATTATCATTCAACTCAAACTATTTCCTAATCTACATTAACATTTCTTTTTTGGGTTATTTTGAAGTATATTTTGGGGGTTTTTGAAACATCATCTTGTTATTATGAAATGCTAGATTAATTCCACAGTGAACAGAGAATATATTCTGCATGATTTCAATTCTTTAAAATTTGTTAAGGCTTGCTTTATATTCTAGCACATGACCAATTTGGTTTACTGGAAATAATGTGCATTCTGCAATTGTCAGATGCTATGGGTTCTGTATGTATATATATGTGCATGTATGTATAATATATATAATACGCATTATATTTCAAATATGTAAAAATATGTATTTAATATAAATGTTTCCATTTAATATAAATGTTCAGATGTATTACTGTTAAGTTGTTAATGACACAATTCTCATACTATTTTTAAATGTCTGTCTAATTTGTGATGAAGTCCCCTTTCCTATTTCTGAAATTTATAATGTGTACCTTCATTTTTTTCTTGATCAGCTTTGTTAGGCATTTACCAATTTTATCTACCACCTATCTATCTCACCTATCTACTTTAATCTTTTCCAAGAAAAAACTTTTGGGTCTATTGATTTTTCAGCATTGCACATTTGGATAAATTATGTGTTTCACAGAATTTTTCCATTTAA